TATATATATATATATATATGTAGGGAAATTTATGAAAATGTATGGAAAATGTCAGGAGTTCACGCTACAGTGATATCATATCATGAAAATAGGCCATTTAGATGACATGATGACATTATTAGATGGATGCACTGGTGATTTCCTCAACTCAAACAATTCATTTAAACAAAAATTAACAACAATGATGGGCACACCACAACAAAAAATGTCAACATCTCAATAACTCGTCATGTGCCCTTGAGCATAAATTACAGCGAAACAACGACGTTTCATGCTGTTCACAAGTCGACTTATTGTCTGCTGAGGCACAGCATCCCACTCTTCTTGAAGGGTAGCCCCCAGATCATTGAGTTTCTGGGGTGCAGCGTTTCGAGCTTCTACACGGCGACTCAGTTGATTCTACAGGTTTTCAATAGGATTCAGGTCTGGCGAAAGTGCAGGACATTCCATTTGAGGTACAACAGTCTCCAACAGCCCTTCCCTGAGAATGCAACGTCGATGAAATGGAGCATTGTCGTCGATGAAGATGAAATAAGGCCGATACTGTTCATTTAGGGGCACAATCACTGGATTAATAAAGTTATTCGCATAGTATGGTCACAAGTGTAGGGCAGTCCTGTACCGACTGGACACACCTGCCCACACTGTAACCCCCCCCCCCACTACCACCACCAAAAGCTCGTCTAGTGACAACAGTGGCTGATGCATAGCGCTCTCCTTGATGTCTTCAACATCATTAGCGGCCATCATTGATGCTCAATGCGCATTGACTCATGTGCCAGAGAACATGAAGCCCACTGATTCTTCGTCCAGCGTAAATGTTCCCTGGCCCATGTAGAACGATGACGCCCGGTGGTATGGTGGAGGTACCCTTGCAGGTTATCTATTTCTCATTTCCCATAAACGCGCTTGGAGCTGAGTGGCATTCATCATCTGGTTTCTCAGGGCATTGTTCACAATGTAGCAGTCATCAGCATGCGATGTGCCCAAAGGACATCCACTTCTACATCTTTCTGTGACTCTTCCAGTCACTCGGTATCTCTGTTGCAACCTCCTGATGACACTCTGTGACACTCTAAGCTCAGTGGCCACTTGCGTCTAAGAACGTCCTGTTTGAAGCATGACAATGGCAAGGTCCTGTTGATCCATTATTAGGTGCCATCTTGGTCTCATTATGTCAAAATGTGAACAGCATGATGAGGACGACTGTGTAAACACCAACTTGAATTGAACCTGGACATTTATTGGTTGAGTCAAGGATCAAATGCCTGTTGTATAATTTTCCTTTAAGCTCCTCAATGGCGAACAGCAACTTGTGCAAAAAGTACGAAAACATTTAACAGCTGGACATGTGCATTCAAAAGCTTGGAGAAGGTCACATTAAGTTCACCTGTAAGGGTTTGGATGCTCATCCTGAAATCTCACCCAAAAGCCAAATATACCGTATTGGCCCGGATATAAGACGGTGTTTTTTGCATTGAAATAAGACTGAAAAAGTGGGGGTCGTCTTATATTCGGGGGTCTAGACGTTATACCCATTCACGACGCTAGATGGCGCCACATATCATTGAAGCGAATGCTGAACTTGACTCCCCAGGCCAAAGCGAACCCCTGTCACGAAGAATAAAAATAAAAATAGCGGTAGCACGAAGAAGAAAAATAAAAAATAGCAGTAAGAAAGAAAAGAGAAGAAAATAATAGAAGAGATAACAGAAAATGGAGAAACGTAGCGACAATCTGGAGAAAAGTGGGTCGAAGATTGGCCAGGTTAACCGGCAGCTGAGGAGAAGTCATGATGTAATTTACATTTCAAAAACCAGAAGCCATTCATTTACGAATGTGATTGCATTTTAGTTTACGTATTTAAATGTTCAGATATTAAGATTTGAATGAGGCAAAATAACATGCTTTTCTCTCAAATATATTGTTATAATCATTTGTTTCAGATGTACTGTAATTATTTTCTGTATAAAAAAATAATTTGGTGTTCAAAAAGTCTTTTTTCAAACTTGAGTCTTGAAAAAGAGGGGGTCGTCTTATAATCAGGGCCATCTTATATTCCGGCCAATACGGTACTTAACATTTTGTGACTAGTGTGCATTTATATAAAACTACATTATTGATTACTTTGTACTTTTACGATGACAAAACTGCCTACACAGAAGAGAACACATAGCCATCTGACTACAGGTACGCCATTGAAGCTTTTTTGATCACAGTACCATCTGCTGGAACTGGCAGGAAGTTACCTGATCTACCTTTGTGCGTAGCCTCATGTCTGTTTGACTCACACATGAGTTCAATTGCTTATGATAGATAAATTATTAGCTCTTTAATTTTGTTTAACTACAGTCTTCCTGTTTACGTGTTAGTTTCTTGCCCAACAAATAAGTGGCATTTATTGTTGAAATAACAAACTTGGACAGCCCTGAGGTTGGATTTTTCACAGAACGTTTGGCATTAATAATGACAATGCCACAGGGTCGATGAAAACTCTTCAAATCAAATATATACCTTGCGGTTAAGATTTGCCCGTGAGTCGTCCTTTTTCCGATGAGGGGATGACATTTGTCTGAGCAGTTCCCGTTTTGCAGGTGGCAGGTTTTCCTGCTCCATGCTCTCCAATTTAAACCTCCTCCAGTCATTGATAACACCCTTGGGACCTTTTGAAATATTGACAAATAGTAGTTAGTTAGATTTCTGCATCAATATCAAAATGTACTGACATGAGAAATCGGTTTTCTGTCTTATATAGAAATGGTGAAGTGGGGTGCAAACTGGATAAGACTGGATAAGAAAAAAAAAGATTATTGCTCTGCTCGGGTGTTATCCACACATTACCTGTCAAGAATCTGTGTTTACATTACTTACCATGGAAAGAGTTCAGAGGACTTACACAGTCACATTCATTTTCAATTGTATTTGACACACAATATTTGAGTGACGGCCATGCGAAGCCCCCATCCATCCACCCATCCATTTTCTGAGCCACTTATCCTCACAAGGTTCACGGATATACCTATCCCAGCTATCTTCAGGCAGTAGGCGGGGTACATCCTGAACTGTTTGCTATCCAATCACAGGGCACACAGAGACAAACAACCATTCACGCTCACAACCACATCTAGGGGCACTTTAGAGTGTTCCATTAACCTGCCATGCATATTTTTGGAATGTGGGAGGAAACAGGAGTACCCGAAAGGGAGAACATGCAAACTCTATACAGGAAGGCCGGAGCCCGGAATCAAACCTTGGACCTCTGCACTGTGAGGCGGATGTGCTAAACAGTCATACACCGTGCCTTCTATGCAGCCCCTTAAGTTTTAAAACTAAAATGGTTTCAACACTGATTCACTCACCCGTGTGGGTTGCCGTTTCTTCCAGGTCAATCTGCTCACACATGGTTCTGTGTAAAGCTGCAGAATTGGAATAAATTATGGGGAAATTGGATGGTGGTTGGAACAATAATACGTGTTTTATATGCAAGACCATATGGCATTAGTGATTGGATAGTTTTGAAAATATAGAGTGGTTAACGAAGTGATTCCCATGATATTTAATTAAATTAATGCTGTCTAAGAGGATTAGTTGACTGCAGTGGGTCTCTCTGTGGCTTTATTAGTCCTTTTAGACATTGTTCTTTTCAAAAGAATATATCGTATGTTCAATCACTTTTTCAAATGAATAAGAACAATATATGCCGCCATTTTGCTTGAATAGTGAACATTGCATTTAAATCATCCCATTGTTACACAGTTTACTACTACTGGTATGTTATATACAGGTGTGAAACCTAGTGTCAATATCGCCAAAGTTACAAGCTTTCTTACAGTATATCTCTGAATCGAAATGGTGGACCTTGGATTTTCACGTCCCCATTTGACTAGTAGATTGATTTGCTCAATTAAAACCTCACTGGATCAAATTGTCATGAGGCATTGTTTCAATTAGTATCGCCTTCTTTTTTTGGGTGCAGTCGTAAAGCTAATCTGGGCTGATGGTCTTTGTCACTGGGGGAGATTTGTCTTGATTAGTTCTTCCTACAACACGTGTTCAAGACATGGGTGAATGTTTCATAGTTTAATTTCAGGACGTGCATGTGTGTTTGAAAGAAAGAGATACAGAAAGAGATACACAGTGAGTTCTTTCGGGAAAGATGGTCCCATGACACAGTAGCAAAATAAGTTGCTCTTTGTTATTAGATTTTGTTGTAGACTGTACTTTTGAACTCATTTCACATAATTTCTAGGTTATTCAAATCTCTCTGTATGATACTCAAGTTAAGTCAGCTCTAAATTTTAAATATAAAGTAGTTGAATGAATAAGTGGAAAAGAGCAATTATGCTCTTCAGAATAAAAGTGCAAAAGTAAACAGATAGCCTACTTGATAAATACATCTACAATAAACTTCATGAACAATGTAACAATGTACTTAAGTGGAATTTGAAACATTTTTTTCTTACCTTACACAACGATGTCTTGAAGCTGTGCACGAAGTAACCTCACAATGGTCTGCGCTCAATTTTCTTCACACAATTGTCTGTTGCTTCTTGGTGTGTGATTTCGCGTGCATGCGTAGGTTCTATCCAGCCAATGAGCAGGGTCTAATGGAGATTTAAAAAAAGACGCTGTCGACCTAACGGAAATAGATCCTAAGAGGATTTAACTTCAGGAATAAGAAGCCTCTACTTGATACAGGCCCAACTCCCCGAGAGACAGAGAGAGAGAGAGAGAGAGAGAGAGAGAGAGAGAGAGAGAGAGAGAGAGAGAGAGAGAGAGAGAGAGATATATAAAACTATTTCTCTCTATATTTTCTGTCAAAAACGCCTTACTATACATAGTCGTTTTTTCGGCTAAAAACGCCTTACTATACATGGTCGTTTTTTTCGGCCAAAAACGCCTTACGCGTGTACTGGATAAAGGAGCAAATGCGCGAGAGAGAGAGAGAGAGAGAGAGAGAGAGAGAGAAAGAGAGAGATATTAATCAATATTTTCCTCAGTATTGCATCTGAGTTGGGGTTGCCTTTGGGTCTTCCCCTCTGGACACATCAGGTCCTAAAACAGAACAAGTCACAACAGTTCACTGAAGGAAGATTTAAATCTTGACATTTTCAAATGAACGTTTTGTTTGTTATTCAGTGAAGTGTCTCCCAGGCATTCCACCATTCACACAAAATCAACACATGATGGAAATATCTTACAAAACATCAAGTACCTTTGGCTAGGGATGCTTCATCACATGACTTACCAACACAGAAATCACACTGTTGTCCCTGTGCTGTTTCTAATGCTTTTGACTCGATTATTCGACGGCTCTCATTACGATGCAGGACAGTGCTACGCCACTGCAAACTATAACACACATTTTTAAATGGATAGCTCTCAGACAGTGTCATTTAAAAGCGAATAAACACACATTTTAGCTTTGCCAAGTTGGACTATTTGATATTTGATTGCTTATATGTTGTCAAAATGATGTGGGCGGTTGGAATTGTTTGACTCCTGTGTGTCGTCTTTCTGCCCCTTTGTGTCCTGCATTTATTGGCTTAAAGGATTAGCAGACTTTTTAAATTCAAGCACACAGAGGAGCGGTGCACGTCAGGTGGGGTTTTCGTCATCTCATACTCTCACTAAGCGCTCAATGCTTAAAATGGAATACTGTACTGCAGTTTATTTAGCAGGGTATGACACAAGACCTGACAGTAGTGAATAAGCCTGACTCTTTCTTTCTTTGGATCAGTCTCCCTACACCAATAAAACTTACTCTTTACAAGATATTTGTATAGATGGATGTTTTTTTGTTCTTTTTTAATCCCAATTGTAACTGTGACTGTCTCTTTTGATCATAGATCAATGAACCACCTCTTTAATGTTGCTACTGTATTATTTTTTTTCTTTATATTACACTAGAGGTCAGCACTTGGCCTCTGTGTGTCAGAGCTCAGGATATTTGTCCACTTTTTTGAAAGACATGCAACAATTTCTTAGTATCTATCTATCAATCTATCTATCTATCTATCTATCTATCTATCTATCTATCTATCTATCTATCTATCTATCTATCTATCTATCTATCTATCTATCTATCTATCTATCGAGTCCCAGTGTTGGTGAATATTTTTTTTATCTTAAAGACTGTCATTCACCATGAGGTGTTCACAACTCTCAATTCTAACAAAGTCCAAGCACCCATGATAAAAATTTCGTACAAAATTTGTTTATCCTTATACTGTAGACTCGAGGGATCGGTATACTGTACAATATTTTTGTGTTGCCCATTGCTCTTGCTCTCTTGCAACATATTTTAAGTATTTGTATCATTTCAAAGGTTTTTGTTTTTTGTTTTTTTTAAATAAGTGCCTAAGATATGTACTGTAAAAACATGCCTAGGGTTTATTTAAATAGGGTAGGCCTATTTCTACTATATCCTCCTGACTACCAGTAGTTCAAATTTGTCCTCTGTAGAGGACATTTGTGAACCTAAATATCTCCCACCCAGTGCCTCCAATCGCATTAACTCCTTTTGTTATTCTAAAGAGGACATTCAGTGCTTTCCAATGATACCAAATTTGTAGGGGTTAGAAAAAGTAAGAAAATGGCTTCCCTCAGTGCAAGCACTTTTTATGGGAAGAGGAAAAGTAATACTTTTTATCGACCACATTTTGTCTTGAAATGCTGTTGGCATTTTAATTATAAGACTCTTATGAACACGTTAAAGTGTTGTTTGAGTTGTTTTAAGTGTATTTGAGCCTGTTTAAAAAATGGAGTGGGATTTCAAAATTTTTTTTGGAGGAGTCCAATTACTTCACATAGATTGGGGAATGTCAAAATAAATGTGATTGGACAACATTTTTTTTCCTGGTAGTCAGGAGGATATAACACAGATTTCACCTATTGGAAGGGGATGGAGGTTCCTATCAATTAAACAAGAATATTTATGTTGAAATAAATAAATAAATACATAAATAAATACACACCACGGCATTTAATGGTGCACTTTTTAAATGAAGTTTTTAATTTACTTGTTGAGAATATGAGAAATGTATCCCTAAATAATCATAGTTACCTATTCAGTCATCTTGAAAAAACCCTTATTATTTCTTTCTGAGCAATTTGCTCAAACCATATTATGTAAGGCTGTAATTTTCCTCAGACCTGCTGAAGCTGAATTTTCCCCCTTTCTGATACATTTACTGTATCACCAGAGCAGAGAGGATTGAGATCCTTCCAATGTTATGGCAACTCCAGGCTTTTGCAGTGCTATGGGAGATAGTCCAAAATTCCATTCAGCTTTACATGACGTTCTCCTCGGCTGACTCAGGAGTTTTCACACCCTGGAATCTCACATGCAGAGAAAATACATTTATTTCTTTTAGTGGTAATGTTGTCTTTATCTGCTTATCGCTGGCATCGGGCTAGAACTTTCTAAGTCACAATTTAGTAAATTTCAGGTTTTACACAAATGTATACTATTGTTCAGTTCATGCATGTAGGTGTTTATTTATAGATGTTTATTTATTTACTTTTTATTTATTCATATAAATTATTGACCAATCTCAAGTGTTGAAAATTATTTGCTGTCTTTGACATGCAATGTTGACAGTTGAAAACCAAAACTAGCATTTTTGGGGTCTCCTGAAAAGTGATGATTTTAGAGGTGTGACTGACGGTGCAGAGGTAATTGGCCCCGGCCTTGCTGTGTGGAGTTTGCATGTTCTCACCGTGCCTGCGTGGGTTTTCTTTGGGGACTTGGGTTTCCTCCCACATTCCAAAAATATGCATGGCAGGTTAATAGAACAGTCTAAAGTGTCCCATGGTGTGATTGTCAGTATGAATGGTTGTTGTTTGTCTATGTGTGCCCTGCAATTGGCTGGCAACCAGTGCAGGGTGTACCCCGCCTACTGCCCAAAGACAGCTGGGATAGGTTCCAGCACGCCCGTGACCCTCGTAAGGATAAGTGATTCTGATAATGGAAGAATGGATCGATGACCGATGGCCAGCCGACACCAGCAATATATAAGTTTGCGTAAGTGTGTGAGCCAGGGGCGGCTCATCAGTAAAAGGCCTCAGGGTGCTGCTGTCCTGCTCAGCTAGAAAGGGGCAACAATTAAATTACAAAAGTGAAAATGAAATATGAGAATAAAATACTTCAAAATATGATGCAGGCTAAATAGTGCAGTTATTGATGAATAAAACGAATGAATTTCGTCCTGGTGTCCCAAACGATGATGCAACTTGCCACACTCTCATTAGTTTGACCCCTGCATATATATATATATTGAAGCCATTATTTAGCTATGTGCATTATCAGCTTGACAGTATAATTTTAAACAGACACATTTTGACTTAGGACGTGACCTCGCATTGAACCTTATGGTGTGACCTTGACATAAACTACCGTAGTGGCAAGACTAATGTGGACAACTTTGCAGATGAACCTCAGTCCTGTTTGAACAAGCACCAGAACAGTTTCTAATTTCTAGGTAAACAAAAGTACTGCAACAGCTACTTGTAAACAAACGAGCTGTGACAGCTTTTAGGGAAAACGAATGTGAAATATCTATTGAAAGCTATGTCCTGTTTAGAGTATATAAGATTTGCCTTGGGATGTTGACCCTGCGCATTTGTGCCTTGACCACAGCCATTGTCTGTATCGCACTTGTGCCCTGAACGTTTTGATAAAATCTTGAAACGACTTATCTATTTCGAGGCTCTGATTTCACAACTCAACTCAGCCCGAATTCAAATGAATATGCGGAGGACTCGGAGGATGCAGAGGACGGCGAAAGGATCCCGCCGACCACAACATCCTATCCCTCCCTGCCACCTTCCCAACAAAATATAAAAAAATATATATATATATATATATATATATAGTAATTTTGTCTTCCCATATTATATTTCTCAACTATTTCAGGCTGAATTGCTCTCCACTAGACAGAGAAAGAGAGAAATTCCACGAGCTACTACTGATGTAACCACAGGAAATGGTTCAGTAAGATTATAACAGGTACTGACCTTCAATGCAAAAATATATAGTATACTCTGCTATAAATAGATTTAGCATATCAATAGACATCTTCTTCTTCTCCTTTCGGCACGTCCCTATTCAGGGGTCACCACAGCGAGTCAGTAATTTCCATCCGCCCCTGTAAACCGTCCTACCAACTTGCATGGTCGTCTTGGCAAAAGTTTTACGCCGGATGCCATTCCTGACGCAACCCTCCCCATTTCTCCGGGCTTGGGACCGGCACTGGGGAACAGTGCACCCCCAGGGGAGGGCACTGCCCCCCAGCGGCTGGGTTAGCATATCAATAGACATCAATCTGCTTTTAATTGCTTATTACAGCCTTTGTAATTGAGAACAACATAGGACTGACATTGTCTTTTCTATTCAGATCCTCAAATCTGGTGGTGAATAAAGGCTCATTAGTGGTAACTGAAACAAACAAACAAAAAAAAAACATTTGCTTCTCTGGTCATCATTTAGTAATGGTGACACAATAACCTATACTGTTTTTCGGGTTAGTAGTTTGGTGCCTGGCAACGAGGGTATCATAAACATGACTTGCTCTATCGTGTGTATGAATCTAGTCTTGTTTTTTTTTCAAGTATCATCTGTGAGCAGCAGGCATGTGTGCATGAATGAACATGTCAGAACAGCTCACATGCATGCATGATTACAGATTGTATCATA